AAGACTTCAATTATTAACATGAATGAGAAGGATTACCCTCGTAATGATATATTTTTGTAATATTCGATTTAGATTAATCAATTAATGTCAAATTACATCAAGTCTCAACCCACCTTAAAATCGAAGAGGATTAAAACACGATAATTAGTTCATGTATTAATTTTTATCTGTTCACCTATAATATTTTATTGAACAATTTTTATGAACAATTTTTTGCATAATATTTTTTTATTTAAATTTAAATATACATATGATATCTGAACTATCCACATTTCCTTAAATTAGTACCTAAAAAAATATTGCTCAGAAGTAGTAAATTAGTACCTAAAAAAATATTGCTCAGAATTGGTAATAAAAAGTTTTTGCTCCAAATCAACACATGAACTAGATTATTCTCTCTAACGAGTACCTATTTTTTCAAATTAATACTTAAACTTTAATTTCACGTATTATTTTTATATTTTTATTTAAAATATTAATTTTAATAATGGGACACCATAAAATCATAATATTTTTTTGTAAAATAACCAATGAAAAATCAATTTTTTTACCATTTCGGTACACTTCCAAGAAAACGAATATACTGTAATATTCTAAACACCTCTGATATCTATTTATTAATAATTGATTTGATCTATGATCGACTAATCCAGATCGAGTACTGCAGAGGCAAGAGCGACTTTAATTATGATGATGTTTTATTGAGTATTTCGATTATCATAAATAAAAAAATAATTTATTATTTTATTTAAATTTATTATTTTTTATTAAAAAATAACGGTTGTTTGAATTGGACGATAATCTATTAATGATATGATAAAATAAGATCTTAGAATTGTTTGGGTTGTAATTTATGGAACGGTTCTCCAATTGTATTATGTTGTCAAGCTAATGCATGAAATATTATATCTTAAGTCAATGTTTGAAATTAACGACGGTACCGATAACATCATTAAAATATAATCTATCATATCTGTTCGTATGTTAACGTTCATCTCAAAGATCGCCAATATTTTGACAGAAAATGGAGTTTGGAGAAAAATAATAATTATATGACCATTTTGTAATTTTAATAGTCAGACAATTCAATAAAATAATGTCTTATAATTGCAAAGAGTTTTGTATTTTACCCTTAAATATTATATATTTAAAAATATTTTTTTTAAATAATTTAATTTATTGAATTTAATTTTTAAAAACAATGGAATAAACATTTAAATAAAAAAAAAACGAATAATAAATATCTTTAATTATTTAACCAATTTTGTTGCTTATCATGTTTTGGGACAAGTGCCTTGCGGCAACGGGATTGTTGGTGTAGTTGACATGTGTTATGAGTGCAATTTTAATTGAAATGGACTATTAGGTTTCACCAATCTTTCACTGATTGTTTGTTTCATGGAAACGTGAAAGAGTTAGTTGCGGTTTCAATATTCGTTGTCTTGTAGAATAGATGTGATAATCTTTTAGGGTAAGCTATGCATGTAGTACTTAAATTATCTGTTCTAATATGTTTTAGTATTTTTTAATTTTTTTCAAGAGTAAATTATATTGTTCTTCATTGAATTTTATTTTCTTTTATATCTACTCAATGTACTTTCAATTTTTCTAATTTGGTTAATGAACTTTACAAATTAAATCATTTTGTTCATTATGTCGTTAATTTTTTAATGGTGTTATGACATGGTACATGCTTCAAAACGACATCGTTTTGAAAACCCAAAAATATACTCCAAAATGATGTCGTTTCGAATCCTCTATTTTCTCTATACTTGCAAGTGACTGGTTGCCATCGTGGCCACCACGTCATTTTCATTCCAACAATGTGTGTTGTCGTTGATGGTGGTTGTTCCCTCACAAATTCATGGGTCGGTTTGTCTCGACCCTACGAGTTCGAATTTGATAGTTGTTTCGTTGGAAAATATCCCAAAATCCGTTAATCTCGATTGAAACGTTTCGACTCTCTCACTTTCAATCTCTAATTCATGGACTTCGGAGCAAGTTCAGACGATATAGAGGTTTGATGTGGAGTCAAGGAGTCGAGGCAAAGCGACCCATGAAATTGGGATCGGACAACCACCATCAACGACTGTCTACAGTTGCTGACGGTGACATCCGGTCATATTTTGTTTTTATTTTATAGTTGGGTGAGCAAAATATGAGAGAGAGTGAAGTTCAGTGAAGAACATTGTATTTTACCCTTTATGTTTTCAATTATTTTAGAGTAAATAATTAAAAAATGACATATCATCACAACGTTAGTAAAGTAACGGCAGAGTGAGCAAAGTGGTTCAATCTGTAATGTTCAGTGAGCAAATTAGAAAATTGAAAGTACGGTGAATAAATAGGAGAGAGAGTAAAGTTCAGTGAGGAATAATATAATTTATTTTTTTTCAAAAATTATATCTAATGTTTAGTTTTGTTTCATTTCAATACACACCTTGAAAAAATTAACGCGTTTAATACATAAAGTATTAGTTTTCATCCGTTTTAGTACCTAAACTTTCGGGTTTTTTTCAAAACATAACATTACAATTTCAAGGGTACTAAAATGAAAAAAAATAAACTTCAGGTTTGGTTTTGAAGAAAATAAAAGTTTAGGTATTAAAATACCAATAGTTTAGATACTAAACACAAAATTTACCCTTTATTTATTTATTTTAAATTGACACTTTTACTACATTAGAGTTAATACCATTCTAGTCCTACGTCTATATTTATGATTTATTATTATAGATTTTATACCTTTTAATTATCTTTATTATTATTATCGTGTCTATAATTATTATTAAATGATAAATCAAATTAGTGTTAAAATCAATTCAATTGTAAAAATTTCAAAATATTTTTTTTCTTATAGTAAGATTGACATTTTAAGTACTAAACACGTAATTTACCCTTTATTTATTTATTTCAAATTGACACTTTTGCTACATTAGATCTAATACCATTCTAGTCCTACGTCTATATTTATGATTTGTTATTATAGGATTTATACCTTTTAATTATCTCTATTATTATTATCGTGTCTATAATTATTAAATGATAAATCGAATTAGTGTAAAATAAATTCAATTGTAAAATTTTCAAAATATCTTATTTTTCTTAAAGTAAGATTATGATATATTCATATGTCGAGATCATCATCAATAATGTATTGCTAAATTACATACTAAATAAATACATTATTGACTATTATAAGTAAAATATAACAATGATCGACTAACGATAGTTTAATAAGCAAAAGTGTTAATAGTTGAGGTAACGACATAAAAAAACGGATCAGTCTAACGTCCTCGAGCACCAAACATGGAGGAGAAAAACTTGAAGAGTATCCGGAACGGGCGAATGAAAAATCCATCTCCCCTTAACGACAATCTCGTAAGGTACAAATATCTGATAACCAACGGAAAATATCATTTACAAACGAACAGAGAAACTAGACATCGAGAAAGTAACCAACCACGAAATCATGTAGATTCACGTACCTGGAAGAAGACCAATAAAAAAAACTGCACCGGAGTCCAAAAACTGATAGCTATGATACCTTCTATCATAAAAAGAGACGAGAAAAACATTATTATAAATATGTTAATATAATTGAAACTAGTAAGTTAGATAATAATTAATGAAAAAAGAGAAAAAATAACAAGAAGATGACCGTAAAAAGCCACCGTCGTTGCCTGGAAGTGACTTCATAATATATCAAGTATAAAAAATATCTTATTTTAAATTATTATTTAATAATAATTAATTGGTCTAACAAGATAAAATATTAAATTCTTTAAATGAAATCAAGACTTCAATTATTAACATTGTGTATTAAGTAAAATGAATGAGAAGGATTACCCTCGTAATGATATATTTTTGTAATATTCGATTCAGATTAATCAATTAATATAAAATTACATCAAGTCTCAACCCACCTTTAAAATCGAAGAGGATTAAAACACGATAATTAGTTCATGTATTAATTTTTATCTGTTCACCTATATTTTATTGAACAATTTTTATGAACAATTTTTTGCATAATATTTTTTTATTTAAATTTAAATATACATATGATATCTGAACTATCCACATTTCCTTAAATTAGTACCTAAAAAAATATTGCTCAGAAGTTAGTACTTGAATTATGTTGATTCTTTCAAATTGGTAATTAAAAAGTTTTTGCTCCCAAATCAACACATGAACTAGATTTATTCTCTCTAACGAGTACCTAATTTTTTTCAAATTAATACTTAAACTTTAATTTCACGTATTATTTTTATATTTTTATTTAAAATATTAATTTTAATAATGGGACACCATAAAATCATAATATTTTTTTTGTAAAATAACCAATGAAAAATCAATTTTTTTACCATTTCGGTACACTTCCAAGAAAACGAATATACTGTAATATTCTAAACACCTCTCATATCTATTTATTTTAATTAATAATTGATATTTGATCTATTGATCGACTAATCCAGATCGAGTACTGCAGAGGCAAGAGCGACCTTCTCAACCTAGTTTGCTCCATTCGCAAAACCCATAATTCGAACACATGACCTTGCTTAAAGGACTTAGTGCCTCATCCCACTAGACCAACTGGTTATCGGTAGCTCTAATATATATTTTAATTTCATTTTTTAGAATTATCATTCTTCTACTAAATTCAAACCCTAAAATGTATATATAACATAGTATTTTTATTTAATTTGGCAAGGCGTCAATATTAGAAGGTTAAGACAATATTTTTCTTGTAAAAAGCGATGAGAAATCTCAAAGTGTACTATATATTTAGAATTTTTGAAATTATTATAAACACAAAATCGATATCTATTTTTCATGTGATGTATATTTGGTTGGGTTGAGGTGTATCCAATTAATTATAAATTGTATAATCGTATTAAAAAGTTGGTAATATATATGTTTGGTACCAAACTATCATTTGTGTTATGTTTTGAATGTACTCAAATGCCTCTCTCTCTTGCAGTTCCAAGCTTTAAGAGCGATGGTGCAGGCCAACCCCCAGATATTGCAGGTTATTCTCTCATCTGTTTTTTATGCTAGTCACGTGCTTTCATTTTCCTTTGTCTCCACAACCCTTTCTGAATGGTTTTGTTTATTGGGTTTTGGCAGCCTATGCTTCAAGAATTGGGGAAGCAAAACCCTCATCTAGTGAGACTTATCCAAGAGCATCAGGCTGATTTTCTTCGCTTGATCAATGAACCTGCAGAAGGTGGAGAGGGGTGAGTCGTATCACTTTGTTTCCAAGTTCTTGAACCTATTGGGCCAGTTGGCAGACGCAATGCCACGAGCTGTACAAGTCACGCCCGAGGAACGTGGAGCCATAGAACAGGTAAGACATTTTGTGTAAAACGCCGACTTGGATCGTAATTAGCCCATATGTTTTGTTGTTGGCAATGATGAATGATGTGGCTTTGTTGAAGTATGAGTGCATACGTGGTAGGTGCGGCATCTAGTATATGTGGGAACTGTGAGTTAGTTAGTTGTTGTTCAAGATTAGTCAAGCAGTTAGAGGTTTGTTACAAGTCTGGTAAAGCTGTTATGCAAGCTTTCATGTATAAAAGAACTGATGTACTACCTTGATGTATAACAATTTTCAGTTACTTCACTTAGTACTCTGTTAACTTGAGTATGAATCACAACATGGTATCAGACGCTGGTGATTTTGGGGCGTGGTAAAGGTCTGCTTGTGGACGGTTGAGCATATGTTGTGATATGATGCCTCCGGTCTCTCCGCTTCCTAATGGTGGCGTGAGCAGTTCCGATTACTCGGGACTTGCCTCGAAAGGGTTCACGAACAAACGTCTGAGTGTTGTTCTTGATGATCGAAATTTCTTGTTGTGGAAACAACAAGTACTGTTAACGGTGAGGAGTCATCGACTTGAGAAGCTACTGTCTGGCTCGGTTGTTCCTCCGCCTGCAATGGTTGTGCTCGATGATGGCACAACAGCTGAGAATGAGGGTTATGAGGTTTTCGTGGCACAAGACAGTGCCTTGGCCTCATGGTTGTTATCTACGGTCAGTCCATCCTTGCTGCCACATCTAGTGGGGGCAGAAACGGCTGCACAAGTGTGGAACACTAAACAAGATTTTTGTCTGTAATCGACGACGACGGTGATGAATCTGCACTATCAACTAAAAGCAGTTCATCAGGGTGAGTTAGGGATGCGCATGACATATCCCAAGTTAAAGAGATATGTGATGCGCTGGCTTCGTGTGGCAGCCCGGTGTCCGATCTTGAACATATTGCCACGATCTTGAATGGTTTATCGGCAGAATATAGGCCGGTTGTTGACGGTGCTCGGCCAGTCGTGATACGTTGACGTTGGAAGTGTAGTCTCGGTGCTCATTGATGCTGAGACTCAACAGAAAACTTCACTCGATTGACGTGTTGCTTGCTGCCAATGTGGCGCATGTAAAGAATGCTGTGAGTAATAGGTATGATCGATACGCTCATCAAGATCAAGTCAAGACAGACAGGAACAAAATAAACAATCAGTCTGCTCGTGGTCGAGGGCGTGCCAAGGTTCAGTGTCAATTGTGTGGAAAAATGGCCATCTTGTCAACCGGTGCTGGTACAGGTTTGACAAGTCGTTTTCTGGTTTAGATGAATCGGATGTGAGAAGCTCGGCCAAAGGAACAGTTGTCTACGGCCAATGTCTGTCATTATAGTTCCAATGCTTGTCTGTACAAGTAAGCCAAGTGGAAGTTCAGGAGGTCTGGAGAGTCAAGACCGACTCAGACCACTTGCCAATGTGGCCGTAACGAGCTCTTCCCCTGCCTCGTGGTTTGTAGATTCTGGAGCTACTCACCACGTGACCTCTGATGATGCTGAGGTTGTGGATGGATCAGATTACACAGGTGCTGGTAAGCTAACTATTGGCAATGGTGCCGGTCTTTCAATTGCTAAAATTGGTCGAACTTCGGTTCACACTGCATCTCGTTCGTTAGTACTAAGTGACTTATTACATGTGCCTTCGATAACTAAGAAATTAATATATGTGTCCAAGCTTGCTAGGGACAACAGAGTATTTTTGGAATTTCATGCTGGCTACTGTGTGGTTCGGGATGAAAAGTCGGGTGCTGTGCTGCGAGGGCGAGAAGCTGGTGGCTTGTATGAGTTTGATGGTTTTCTGGCTCGGCGTAATAAAGATGCTGAAGTGAATTTGGCTCATAAGTCTAGTAGTAGTAGTCAATATGTACTGTGGCATGATCGTTTAGGTCATCCGTCTCATAAGTGTTGCTGCAAGTTTGTAAACAATGTAACATTTCTTTACCAAGTAATGTCAATAAAGAATGCTTCCGTCATGTGTTCCATGCCATATGGGCAAAAGCCCAAGCTCCCGTTTAGTGCATCTGAGACTCAGTATGAAAATCCGTTTCAGCTAGTTTTTACTGACCTATGGGGTCCGGGGCATATTGTGTCGAATGGATTTAAGTACTATGTGTCGTTTGTAGACGCGTGCTCGAGACATACCTGGGTGTACCTGCTGAAAGAAAAGGGCAGGCAGTTCAAGCATTTCAGTTGTTTCAACAACTAGTGCATACACAATTTGGACAGGTGATTAAAGCGGTGCAGAGTGACTGGGAGGTGAGTTTCGCTCTCTCGGCTGTGCTTGCTCGGTGTGGGATTCAACATCGAGTGACGTGTCCACACACGTCCCAGCAAAATGGGTTGTAGAAAGGAAGCCAGACACATTTTCGAGATGGCACTGACACTACTAGCTCGAGCCTCTCTACCCTTGAAGTTCTGGTCATTTGCAGTTGTAACAGCTGCACATTTGATTAACAGATTGCCAACTAAGGTACTTCAAGGACGTACGCCGTTTGAGAAATTGTTTGGGAAACCACCGTATGATCACCTAAGGGTGTTTGGCTGTAGGTGCTTTCCTCACTTACGGTTGTTTCAGCCATATAAGCTTGCGTACAGGTCGCAACCGTGTGTTTTCCTGGGCTACAGTGTAAGTCATCGAGGATATCAATGTTTAGCGCCTGACGGACGAATCTATATGTCTCGCCATGTAGTTTTTGATGAGCAGGTGTTTCCGTTTGCTGAACGTGTGGATAAGAAACGTTGACGGATTCAGGAACTTTGGGTTCTGGGTGTCGCTGATGGTGGTCCCTGGGTGCTCGGCGTGTCTGTGGTGCCCTGCAGGAGTATGCAAGGAATGGTCAGACTGGATGTGGTGGAACTGGGCATACACCAGTGTACAGTGGGGTAGTGCCTGAGGTTGCCTCCAGTAGCAGTACTGATCGATCTAGTCAGAATGTTGCTACTAGTACAGAGAATGTGGCGAATGTAATGCCAGAACGGGTAGAGCAGCCTGATGAACTACTGATGGTGAGTCGGTTCAAGCTGATGTATCTGGTCAGCGTGAAGGTGGCATAGCACGTTCATGGGTGGAAATGAACACCCGATGGTCACTCGCAGTAAACGAGGTATTTTCAAACCGAAAGTGCTTGTTACACAGGTTAAAGGAAGTGCTAGTGAGCCTTGCACGATCAGTCAGGCTCTTAGAGAACCAAAGTGGAAAGAGGCTGTGCTTGCTGAATATGATGCTCTAGTAAGGAATGACACGTGGGTGCTTGAACCGTTACCAGAAGGGAGAGCAGCGGTTGGGTGTAAATGGCTGTTCAAAATTAAGTATAATGCTGATGGATCTGTGCTGAGGCATAAAGCTCGGTTGGTGGCTCGAGGGTATTCACAGGTACCGGGTCGTGACTTCACTGATACGTTCAGTCCAGTAGTAAAAGCACCACGGTGAATGTTGTACTGTCACTGGCAGTGACGCGTGGGTGGAGCTTAAGGCAGGTGGACGTGAATAACGCCTTCCTCAATGGTGAGCTTGGTGAAGAAGTCTACATGGTGCAACCACCAGGATTTGAACAAATGGCGAGTGATGGCACTCGGCTGGTTTGTAAGTTGAAAAAGGCGTTGTATGGGTTGCGTCAAGCGCCACGAATGTGGTATGTAAAGTTGCGTCAGTTTTTACTGGAATTGGGGTTTTGTGGTACAGCAGCTGATGCGTCGTTATTCGTACGACAAGTTGGTGGAATTCGTACGTTGATCTTAGTATATGTGGATGATATTATAATTACAGGGGAGTCGAGTGACGCTGTTGATGAGGTTGTTGGGTTGCTCGACAGGAAGTTTTCCTTAAAGGACCTGGGTGAGCTTGGTTACTTCCTTGGTGTTGAGGTCAAGAGGTCGTCTGATCGACTAGTTTTGAGTCAACACAAGTTTATTTGTGAGTTGCTGGAGCAGACAGGAATGCTTGGTGCTAAACCAGCACCAACACCAATGGTAGTCTCGCCTAAGCTAACGTGTGACGCTGGGAAGCTGCTTACAGATGCATGTATGTATAGAAGTGTGGTTGGTTCCCTGTTATATCTGAGTCATACGAGACCTGATATAGCGTTCAGTGTTAGTAGAGTGGCCCAGTATATGCATCGACCGTGCGATGGTCACTGGCTTGCTGTGAAGCGGATCTTGCGATACTTAAGTGGAACAGTTGACTATGGCTTGGTGTTTCGACCGACTTCTGTGCATGAATCCTGCTGTCTGACTGCGTTTGCTGATGCTGATTGGGCCAGCAACGTTGATGACCGCAGGTCAGTCTCGGGCTCGTGCGTGTTCCTTGGGTGTAACTTGGTATCGTGGAGTGCTAGGAGACAGAAAACTGTGGCTCGCTCGACTACAGAGGCCGAATATCGCAGCATTGCTGATACAGTAGCTGAGGTAGTCTGGATTCGGTCATTACTTTCTGATTTGGGTGAAACGGTTGCTATAACTCCTATAGTCTGGAGTGACAATACTAGTGCGGTTGCCATGAGCGCGAATCAGGTGTTCCATGCTCGGTCGAAACATATAGAGTTGGATATACATTTTGTACGTGAAAAGGTGGCTTGTGGAGCAATTCAAGTGAACTACTTACCTGCAGAGCACCAGGTTGCTGATGGGCTGACAAAACCGTTGCCAAAATCTGCTCATATGTTGTTTCGACAACAAGTGCAGGTGGCAGAAAAGGAGAGAGCTGAGAAGGACGGGGAGAATGTTGAAGTATGAGTGCATACGTGGTAGGTGCGGCATCTAGTATATGTGGGAACTGTGAGTTAGTTAGTTGTTGTTCAAGATTAGTCAAGCAGTTAGAGGTTTGTTACAAGTCTGGTAAAGCTGTTATGCAAGCTTTCATGTATAAAAGAACTGATGTACTACCTTGATGTATAACAATTTTCAGTTACTTCACTTAGTACTCTGTTAACTTGAGTATGAATCACAACAGGCTTTGTTTTTACAGCTGGAAGCAATGGGGTTTGATCGAGCAACTGTGCTCCGAGTCTTCTTTGCCTGCAACAAGAACGAGGAACTAGCAGCCAACTACCTTTTAGATCATATGAACGATTTTGAGGATTAATTGGGTAAAAAAGTTAATGGCTGGGGGAAGTAACATTTTCTCTGTCTTTCTCTTTGCTTTTGGTATTCATGTCCCTCCCGACCCTTCCGACTTTGCTTTAAGTTTCTCAGGCATACTTATGTTTGTGGTTGGTAGATCATTCAGCGAAGAAGGCAGATCAGAGCTTCAGGCCAAGTCATAGAGTACATCGATAAGCTTTATATTTCCAGAAAGATCAGCCTGGACTGGTGAAAATCAAACCCCTTTTCATGAACTAACATTTATTTTTGTCCAGATATGGCCTATTATAAATACAAATATTTTAAATGGTTTGAATAAAATAAATTTTAATCCGGCTGCTCATAAAATAAAACCAAAATTTATGGTGCGTGGCCAATCTGTCAATGACTTGGATTCATCTCCTTTCCGATAACTTAATTAATTCGCAACATTATTCTATTATGGAGGCGGCCAACCATGTCGTTGTTGTGGCAACGTGGCAAGTTTCCGGTGTGCCTCGTCACAGGAGTTCCACCGTAGGGGTTGCGTCTAGTTGTATTGGATATTTTTTCTTTTTCGTGATGGGACTTGAATCAGTTCCTAAAAATTTATATTTGGATCGAATTGAATCAGTTTTTTTTGGATGATAAGATTGTATCATGTTCACATTTAAAATGAGAAATCTGTGACTTTTTACCTAATGACTGATCTGATTTTTTTTTATAAGTCTGTAAATAAATTGAATCGTTCATGAATCGTGCGGCGGAAAGTTCGTTTATGTTTGTTTATTTATTAAATGAACGAACATGAACAAGATTTTGCGTCCGTTTAATTAAATGAACGAACACGAACAAATGGCTTGTTCGTTCATTTACGTTCGTGAACGTTCGATTATATGTTCGTTCATTTATGTTCATTTATATCCGTTCATTTATGTTCATTTATGCTCATTTATGTTCGTTCATTTATGTTTAAACAGATAACAAGTTAAATATGTTACGAAGATTATTGAAGTTGTTTGAATTTCAAGAAGATTGTTTAGTTGAACAAATTAACTTTAAGAATTTATTATGTTCATCTAGTTTATTTATGATGTATGTATGTTTTTTTCATATTCGAACAAATTAACTCTAAAGTTGCATATTATATTAATGAATTTTAAGTTGTTATTCTTGTTTATTTTTTTCATTCATTTGTTGTGCTCGAATAAGTTTGTTTTTTGTGTTTGTGTTTGTGTTGTTAGTTTATGTTTGTTTACTGTGTTCGTTTATGTTAATTTATTATGTTCGTTTATCATTTAAATGAACGAACATGAACAAATTATATTCCTTAATGAACGAACATGAACAAAAAAATTTGTTCGTTTATGTTCGTGTTTGTTTATGTTCGTTTATTTATTAAATGAATGAATATAAACATACCTCCTTTTGTGTGCGTTTGGTTCGTTTACAGACCTATTTTTTTAAGACGATATATATATATATATATATATATATATATATTATAATATAAAATCTTTATATTGGGTTTGCATAATAAATAAATAGATAGTTAAATTTAAAAAATTCAAATTTTAAGATGAAAAAATTGGTCTTACATTTGCCATCGATCAAATACATTTCTCTTAAATCCAAATTAAATTATAGATTAGAAATCTAAATTAAATTATAGATAAAAAAACATAATATTTAGATCAAATTTAAATAAAAGCAAATATTAGATTTAAGGGTAAAATACGTGTTTAGTATTTAAACCATTAATTTTGATCCGTTTTAGTACTTGAACTTTTAATTTTTCAAAATCATACCTAACTTTTGTATTTATTTTATTTTGATACGTTAAAATCTTAACGGGTGATTGGCACATGGCACATTTTTTATGGGTAATTTGCATCATTCACCACTTAATTATCTTCTCACTCTAATTTTGGTCACTAAAATTAATTTTTTAATTTATTACTTAACTTTCAAATTATTCATAATTTAATCACTCTAACTTTCAATTTTATATTATATATTAATAAAAAATCATGTCACAAAAACTATTAATAAAATAAATTAGACCGATTAAAATAAGAGCAATTTGAAAGTTGAGTAGTTAAAATGATTTTTTTAATTTAGCACCAATATAGGAGTGAGAAGATAGATAAGAGATGAATAATGTACTGAAATAAAACAAAAATGAGATATTATATATGTTTTTTAAATTACCGTATAAGTATTTAAACGAATCAAAATTGATAGTTTAAATATTATACATATAATTTATTTAAGATTTAACTCATCTATGTCCATCCTACCTATATGTAAATCCATTACGATTGTATCTGATATATATTTTGAATTGAAAATGGTATAGAATTTTGAGTATAAGGCTGATTTGAAGGCGAAAACTTTGAAATTTATTTATCCATTGATAAACCCATATAAAAATTGGAAAAAGGAATTCTCATATAATAAACAAAATTCGAAAATAGAAAGCAAGTCAAATATGACAACTGGCAAGTCCGAGTCCACCTTTAATAGAGCGCTAATTCCGGGCTCCACTTTTCTTCTTTCCCTCAACTTGTGCTTTGTCCTCTTCTTCAATTTCACATGTGAGGGATGGGTATGTGTCGGTTTTGGTCAATCTAATTCGATCAGAAAATTTTATATTATTTATTTAATTTGATTTGATTTAAAATAAATACACTTTATTTTATTTAAATTTGTCTTGATTTTAAAGATAAAATCTGAATCTGATTTAGTCCGATCAAAAATAATAAAAAATATTATTTTTATTTAATAAAAATAATAATTTAATTGAAAAAAATAATATATAGAAGAATATCGGGTCGGGTCGAAACCTGTCTGGCTCGATTCCCTAGGGGTGTGCAAATCAGAGTACCCGATTTTCGGGTCGACAATTTTTCGGCCCGTATCCCGACCCGGATGTTACGGATACCCGGTAATAGGGTACCCGGATTTTGCGGGTACCCGGTAATCGGGTACCCGATACCCGGTTTTTAATTTTTTATTTTCAAATTATTAATTTAAAAAAATATATACACAAATTTAAATGTTCGAAACTTCAAATTACATACTCTAATATCCGAACATAAAATTTAAAAGTTCGAAATATAAAATATAATAATTCATTATATTTTATATAATTATATATAAAAAATAAAAAAAAAATAAAAACTAACCAGGTACTCGGGTAACCGGGTACCCGGAAAAATTAGATTTTGTGACCCGGGAAATGTCGGGCCGGGTACCCGACCCGGCCGGGTAATTTTTTTAGAGAATTATCCGGTTTTTTATATCCGGGTCGGCGGGTTGGATCAACCGGGTCGGGTAATTTTGCACACCCCTACGATTCCCTGTTCATTCCTACATGTGATGGATAAATGTAAGGGGGAAAAACACTCATCATAATTTATTTCAAATTATATATATTTTTCTTATTCTTAATATTTAATTATTATTTTGTCATATTTATTTAAAAATTAATAATATTAAAAAAATGATTAACAATATAAGTCAATAATAACGTACCGCTTATTTATTCTAAACTAAAAAATATCAACACATCCTTTAACCAGTGTAACAATATCATTTATCGCATATCATTACAAAGCGATCTTTCAAAAATTTTATTTTAAAGAATCGAAATAAAACAAACATAATTATTTCTTATAAGGACTATAACAACAATTAAACCACTTAAATCAAAGGTCCATGCTCCATGACCTATACCTCCCATTAGACTGCTTTTAATATATCTTTTTTTCACGCACCGAGTGAATTCAGTAGTAAAAAAATTATTGTTATTTTTTAAAATCTCGGTTTGAGCACCAATAATACTAAGGGTATGAGCGTTCAATATTAAATGACTGAGTTTTTTTGTATAATCATCAGTTTTCGATTTATTAATCAACTAATTTGAATAAGGCATTGCAGAAGCGAGTGCGATCCTCCTAACCCAGTTTGCTTCATTCGCAAACGTCAAGATTTGAACCAACATATATTGTCTTGCACTTCCCGTATTAATAAAAAAATTAATATCCCAATTTTATTAGTAAGAGTTAATTGCATAACATATCATTAATTTATATCTCCACTTTAAATTGATTATCAAATCTTTAAATTGTTTAATCTCATTTTTAAATTGTTATTTTAATTCTAAATTAATAACAAAATTTTGAATATTTTAATTGTATTCCCAAATTATAACCCTCATTCCCAAATTTTATCCTCAAATTCGTCCAAATTTATAATTAATTTCGACCATAGTTTAATCTATTTTTTCAAGCATGTAACACATAGCTTGGCCTAGCAATTTTATTTATAGGGGGTGTGATTAGCATATACCAATAGTTTAGGATGATATTGAAATACTAAAAAATTTGAGGATAAATTTAAAACGAAGGTCATAGTTTAGAGATTGAAATTGAATTATTCAAAAGTTTGAAGACTATTTTAGAACGAGAATATTAAGTTGAGAATAAAATTAAAATATTTAAAAATTTAAGGATTAGTTAAAAATTAAGATTCTAATTTAAGAATGTGTAATCCAATTAACTCTATTATTAGACATTATTTATGTATTTTTAATGTTATTTTAATTTTCATTAAATTACAAGGAAATTATAATTTAAGAATCAATCAGATAAAAAAAATTCAATATTAAAATAGAAAAGTGATATATTTTATAGGTGAAATCGCAGTATTAAGTGAAAAAGAAATAAAATCCAAAATCATAACAAGGGTATTATAGTAATCAGGAAATTTCTTATCGATTTCCTCGGTGGTATCCTCATATACGCAATCTCGACCGTCGATACCCAATCTCCAAAAAAACCCTACCAAATATAAATGTTCAAATTCCCTCGCACGCTCACCAGTTTCTCTCTCTCGAATTTTGAAACCCTTTTTTCTAAAATTCCCATATTTCCCTTGGAAACTTTTTCTTTTTTCTTTCCCGGTGCTTCTGATGGAGGGATTCGCAGTGGCGTCGACGGCAAAGCCGTCATCGAGTACGACGGCGTATGTGAGCTGGGAGGAGGTGAATGTTTTAAGCAATAAAGGAAGGAGGGAGGTTCATTATTATTTGAAGAGAAAGGATGGCGTTTCAGATCTGGCTGTGATTGGCAGAGAGAAGAGCTTGAGGCACATGTCTTATCATTTCGCTATTAAGAACCGCTCCCTTTTCTTCTCTTCGACTTCCTTCTACAAGCTTAAGTCTCGCCGGGAGGTTGTCTATTGGCTTAATTCTGTCGTTTCCGGTAATTACTGCTTTGAAAATTATCTCTGTTCGTATTTTAAATTTTTATAGTTTTTGGAGATTTTGTGTTTTGTTAGGGTTGCGTTGAGCTCAAACTTTCATAGGGTTTATGCTAGATCTGGGCGTTTTGGGCGAATATTGACAATATAAGATTTGATTTGAGTTTATTATTTATTTTTTCCTTCGTAAAATATCAGTTTTTCACTGTACTCATTTGAACTTTCTAATCAATTAAATTTTATCTAATTTTGCAGTACGTGTTGATAATAAAATCCTGCCTTTTTTTAGCCTTTCCCAGAACAATTTTTTCAATTTTAATCTCAAAATTTGCTGGATTTTTTTGCCTGATGCAATGAATTTGCCGGCCTGATTTTTTTTTTTAAATTAGATTTCCTTTTGTCTACACATATTGTAATTTTGTCTTTTATAATTACCTTCACCTAGAATTATTTTAAGCCTAACTCGTATTCTTTTGGCTAAAAAGTAATCTGGGCGTTTCTTCTCCGATCCTTATTTTGGCTAGGGTTTTGATTTCTGTGATTGGCGTGTGTTCCGTTTGGATCCTCTCAGCATTGTAAATAATAATTGTCTATAATCTGGTCCGCAGGATTGCTAATTCAATTTTTAAGAGCCGATTGAGAGCATCACGGTTCTTACGCCCTCAAATATCTAGGTCAACATCTTACTTGACCAAACATTCTTGATTTCTACAAACAAATTCCATATCCACAGAAATCAGCTGCTAATTCATATTGGATATGAAAAATTATATAAGAGCTCTCATTGTTTAGGGCATCTGATTTTCACTTTATCCTTTCTCCAGTATACGTTTTGTTGTAATCATGCCTGTTATTGCTTTCCTTTCTGAGTCACTTTTCTTATTTGAGTCATTGATGTTCAAAATTTACAGATTCACCCTCTCGTGGCTTACACTGTTCCGTTGATGGCATTTGGAGTGGAAAAAATGTGAAAAGTATGGAATTTGGTGCAGTCAAGGTATGAATTGTGTTTTGAGTATTTGGTCTTCTTTTTGTTTGCTAATTTTTATTTATTAATATTCTGAAATTTTGTACCTGCAGGATCTTCAATCACAGAAACTCGTCCATTACTCTAAAGAAGTTTTGTGGTTAGGTTCTTCATGGACATGCAAGAGAAAAAGGAAACACTATCAGTCTTTCTGTAGGAATGGCGTAATAATTTCGGTGAGTAATTGTCATCATTCCTCCCAGTTGTGTTTTGTTGTTTATGGATTTTTGCACTTTACATCTTTATCATCTTGCTCACTTTTGGCCATTTGTGTCATATTCCTCTAAAATCTTCAGGTTCACAACTTTGTTTATGTCTTAGCTGAGGAGGATAAACGACTTGTTGCCTATTTGGAAGATTTATATGAAGACTCTAGAGGCAACAAGATGGTTGTGGTTCGATGGTTTCACAAAATTGACGAGGTTGATATTGACGTTGGGCACAATTATAATAGCAGGGAAATTTTCTTTTCTCCTTGCCTTCAAGATCTCAGTATTGAATGCATTGATGGATTGGCTACAGTCCTTTGTCCTGTGCATTTTAAGAATTTTTTTAATGAGGCCAAGCATACCCTGCTGGAGCCATTTGTATGCTGTAAGCAATTTGAAAATGATGATATCAAGCCTTTTGACGTGTCTCAACTGAAGGGGTATTGGAAACAAGATATGCTTAGAAATATGCACAGTCTTTCTACTTTGAATGACTGTGCACCTTGTCAGCACCGTGCTGATGAGCAGAAGACAGTGTGGGATGTTGATGATAGTGTTGGTATCAGACCCAGAAAGAGATATCGCCAATCAAAAGATGATGATGTTGTGAACTTACGTTTTAGTGGCAATAAAGAGTCAATGGAAACATCCCGTGTGGATCTGCAAGATGTTCAGAACAGTAAAAAGGAAAACGAGTCTTTCAGTGTTCAGGTTGATGAGGCTAAGCAATATTCCTCTCTGCATTTAATAGTAGGTTCGCAGGTAGAAGTGTTATCTCAAGATAGTGGTTTGAGAGGGTGTTGGTTTAGAGCTCATATAATCAAGAAGCACAAAAACAAGGTGAAGGTGCAATACCAAGACATTCAGGATGCAGCTGATGAAGCTAGTAAATTACAGGTATTTTATGCTCTATTTTTAATTTGTGGAACTGAAAGCGTGCTCTAATAATGTAACTCATATTCATAGGCTTTTCATTTGTAATTTTTTAATGATCATTAATGTTCTAATGCTATAGGAATGGATTTTGGCATCTAAGGTTGCTAGTCCTGATGAAGTGGGTGTTCGTATTTCTGGTCGGACAACTATTCGACCACCTTCTCAGTATACCAAAGGCAGTGTGTCATGTATCGGTGTTGGTTCTGTTGTTGATGTCTGGTGGCATGATGGGTGGTGGGAAGGCCTTGTTGTTCACAAGGATTCAGAAGATAAATTTTGTGTTCATTTCCCAGGTTTGTAAATGCTTTAATTCTAAACGTACATGTTTTGTTTTTCATGGTCATGAATGTTGAAATAGTTTTTTATCTTTTTAATTTCCAATTCTGACTTATATATTATTTGCAGGAGAGAAGCGGGAATCAGTCTTTGACATTGGTGATATAAGACGATCTCAGGAATGGGTGGGAAATCGGTGGATAAGTATGAAGGAAAGGTGTGATCTCGTGGGTATTGTGCTCCGGTCCGGAAAGCATAATGCAAGCAACTCCAATGATCCCAATTTTGACAAAAACACCATTCGTTGTGATGGTGGGCAGATTATTAAGGATTCGTCTGATTGTAATGATTCTCCTGGCGAATCAGGAAATGATGGTGCAAAAGATGAATGCCTTGTTCCAGATCTTTCAAAGGATGATTGGCTTTCCCAGTTGAAATGGAAGTCATCTGGGAAGAGAAAACGTGTGTCTTCGACCCATGTACGGAAACTGAATTGCAGTCGGAATCTCATCAAAAGCACTGCACGGTCAGTTTCTTCGGAACGATTTTTGATCCCTGCATCCATGAAAGTCGATAATGATAACTGCAAGTACATAGGTCATCCCCTATTCAGCTCTTCAGTTGTGCCGCCTCTAACAAACATGGTTATGACTAGATGATTGACCGTTCCTATTGAAGTGGAGTTGCTTCTTTCTGTTTTGTTTGGAGTTGGCATTTTGACAAGTCTCTATTTTCCTGTATGTAACTTAACCTATGGGCTCTAAGCTTAAAGAGTCCTGCAAAATTCAGGTCCAGTGTAAGTTAACCTGGTAGAATCTCCAACTTAGCAGGCCTCACTTATTTAGGATGTTTACAGGAAGATTTCTGCTTTATTTGTATTGTTTATTTGTTTCTGGTAATAAAAGTTTTCCATTATTTTCTTCATTCCATTATTCAACCGTGAAGCTGTTCATAGCACTCTTTGCTTGGTTCAATTATGATTCATGGCCAGAAAATTGGCCGGTAGTAAACGACTTAGTTTGTCTTTGTCACACTATAAGGAGTTCAATATATTCATTTAACTGAACTCACTTATATCTCGTAGTATAATTTGAGCCCCAATGTTTTGCATAAAGTGGGCATTAACCGGGCTTTTATAGGATAAAGGGAATTGAACAATTTTGGGGGAACATCATCCTAAATTTTGAAGATTTTCTTGTCTTATTCAAAATCCTACCTCATTGGTAGTTTCTTTACAGAGGATCGTACCTAATGTAACTATGACATGATGGATTAAATGAACAAAAAAGTTGCACATGGGTTTGAGTTTTTGGTCCCAAAAGCAACATTTTTAAAACATAATTATTGTAGAGGACAATATCAGTGAAAAAAATGGAAATGAAAAAGGTTAGATGTGGGGACACTACCCTCTGTGACTTGAGGGCATCTTTCGACTAAGCAGGAAAAAGACCCTTCTTTTCTCTCTCTATCAATTCCTTGTTTACCAGCTTAAGATGCTCTTTCTTCATCCTCAGGCCTGCTCCACAAATAGCTCTGTTTCAACAGCAGGCTAGTGGCGCAGTGCTTTCATCTTGAGATCGATCCCTTTTTTCTTCTCTATGAAGTCCTTTAACAGGTGAAGAAGCCATGGTTCTTCTTAGTCAGGCGCCTAGGAAAGAGGCTAAAAGAGCAGAATTCAACAACCCAAAGAACTTCTTGCTTCCAGAAACTAGCCTTGCCTCTGTTGAATCCTTATCCATGCCTCTGGTTTGCACTCTCTCTCTCTCTTTACGTGTGTCATTCTTTTGCCTGTTGAGTGAAGTAATCTTTAACAGTTTCGGGTGTATTTTGTTTCTATTTGGTGCAGGTCCACGAAGTTGTGATTTTCAGCAGATATTGGATGTACAGAGTGTCAAAAGAAAATTGCAGACGTAATCTCAAGAATGAATGGTGTATATGTTTTTCATCGTTATCTTTATGACTCTGGCTAAGATTTATTTTTACATATGCTTCATCCAATGAAGTTTTCAAAGATTAACAATGGCATAAGATTTAGCTGTGTTAATCCAAGATTCCTGCATTGACCCGGATCCTAATTTTGTTGCTTCTTAGCAGATACAGATTCTGTTTTGATAAATGTGTTGGAGAATAAGGTAACACTCACTTGCACATACCCCAAGTTGGCTTCAACCCAAGCTCCTGTTGTTTACAGGAAGCCTGTCAGCCCAATGGCCATCATCAAGAAGTTGTTCCGATCTTCCCGACGATGATTACCGATCGATGAGCTCATAAATGCAACATAATTCTTCATATAATGATTTGCTTGTTCATATTCCTTTTGTTGTAAGAAAATTTTGTACCTAGTTTTTTTTGGGGCCAAACCTCACTTGTATATGGGATCATTGTGCATTGTTGGATGTGTTTGAAGTCTTTGCTATATATTTTCTCCGAGTATTCGTGTTCGACACATTTTCGAGTGTAACTTTCTCTATTGTTTTTTTCTTGCCTTTGAGGCAAACTAAAAGCAAAGCTAACTGATGCTTGAATTTTATGCAAAAGGAGACCTTTTTGAACAAGAAAAGGATAGTTCAGATTCCTGTATAGGGGAAACGTACATGAAAGGATTCTGTATGAAGTTATGGTTCAATTAACCAAATGGAGTACCGTTTTTGCTGGTTTATGCAGGGAATCAGATTCCAAAATCAAGCAAATGGTGTTCCAATGAGAGAACCGTGTTCGATCCCTTTGGTTGAGGCTCATCAGCGAACCGTGATATATCTACAGCAATCCGGTCTATTTCTGGCCTTATTTGTGATTGGCTTCAAACTGTTCCCAACGTTGATTGAGGCTCTGGTCGAACTCTGGCGGGCTCGAGATGCACACGTTTCACTTCCCGAGTGGTGAAGCGACAATTATTTTGGAAGACGTCGCTTACCAACTCAGTCTTCCTATGAATAGAGCCCCATGGTAAGTCAGAATATGTACGACCCCATATCGTTGGTCTATCAAGTTTTGAGAAAATAGCCACCATTCGACGTCATCGACGACTTTCGGGTACAAATAGCATGGTTGAAATCGGAATTGTAAGTGACGGACGAGTCTATCGAGGAGGAGGTTATTTTCGTGTCTCGAACATATCTTTTTCAAATGATCGGGAGGGTATTATTACCAGATAAATCTGATAATTTGGTGCACACTCAGTATCTGCGATATTTGAAAGATTTCGCTATGTGCCGTTATACCAATTGAGACTCGATTATTTTAACCTTTCTATACCGAAAACTTTACAAGACTGCAATTCCATTCAAATAAAAAGCTGATGTCGTCTGTTATTAGATACTGTTACAATCGTAGAGTTGATATCAATTCCTTTTTTACGACGCCAATTACAACCGGGGTATCAATTCTTATAGGAAGTAGGAAGCTTCGTGCCCTTGCCCCCACCTTTCTTTTCTTACATTATTTGCTTTGCTATAAAATGAAAAGCCACAAAGTAAATTGACAGGTCACACTAAAACCAAATTGTCTAGTCAAGTAAATTTCGATCCCGTCGCCTTCTAAAAGGATGCCCATCCACTTGTAAATCATGATAAGGTCATATAACCATCGCAGCTCAAACAAATGGCTCATATATTACCATCACCTCAAGATGATAAAGTGGCAGCGGAAGAAGGAAGGAAATCATCGATGTTTTGAGTGGTCAAGTGATGATTCTAACGAGGACGTGACACAAGATAAAACAAGTAAAGTTTCATCTTTACAGAAAAAATATAAAAATCAAAAAAGAAAAATAAGATAGATAACACATGATTTTGATATCAGTCAACATAAAACATAAATTATCTCCACTCTTGTTGTTTTTAGTTTAATACTCGAATGACAAAAACACGAGTCATTCCAATGATAAAATTTAAGTGGATTTTTGAGAAATAAGACTCTCAAATCTTAATACATGATTAAAGAATTGAACTTTTTGGGGAAAAAATGTTACTGAAACTGACATTCTTGGTGGAAACTGCATTACACACTGTCTTCACTCTTGAACTGGATAAAGTGATATATAATATCATTTATTCTGTACTTTTTTCACAAGATTTTCTCTTCACTAATGTTCTATCTCGGTAGGTAAAATGATAAAACTCGGCATGAACTTTTGCTTACAAACAGCGAAGCTTTTCTGCACGGCATGAATTGAAGCTTCCATCACTGGTATACTCACCAATTAAGTAATTGTCATCTTTCTCTCTTAGTATGTCAGTTTCTGAATCAAATATAGTTTCCAAAGTACAACTCTTTAAAACATAATTTAAACATGCCATGACTGCTTTGTTAATGCTGATTTGGTTGCATTATAAAGCTTTTACTTGTTTTTATTTTTCTGGGTTTTGTTTATCTTCTTCTAAACTTCTGGGATCATGCAGATTTGTTGCGCAGTGAAGAAGGTGGTGAAAAGGGTGGCAAAAATGGGGTCTTTGAAATGTAATAGTGGGACAAAGCGGCCTCTTTTGGTCAGTTTCAGGGGAAATGAAGATGGAGGGAATCGATGGAAAGTTCTGAGAGAACAAAATCAAGAAATCATGGGTTGAATCCAAGGATTTTGCTAAGAAAACAGTGGAAATGGGACGTTCGGATCCCAGAAAAGTTATATTCGCAATGAAAATGGGACTGGCCTTGTCACTTACGTCGTTGCTCATATTCTGGAAAGGATCACACGAAGATATTGCTCAGTACTCAATCTGGGCAATACTCACTGTCATAGTGATGTTTGAATTCAGCATAGGTACTTATTTCATCGCTTTTCCCCATTTTCTTCTCTGAATTCCATGGAAGTTCCATTAATGGTTAGACCGTTTGATTCTCTTTTAAACAGGAGCAACGTTTATCAAAGGATTTAATCGCGGCCTGGGGACACTTTGTGCCGGAATACTTGCGTTTTGCTTCGCCGAGTTATCCATGGTGGCCGGCAAGTTCGAGGAAGTTGTCATTGTTATAAGCATTTTCATAACAGGTCGGTTAGTACTCGTGTTTGTGTTCGTATTCGTGTTCCTTCTTGAAGTTAATGAAAACTAACATATTGCTTTGCCGTGGATAGGATTCTGTGCATCCTATTTGAAGCTGTACCCGACAATGAAGCCTTACGAATACGGATTCCGGGTATTCGTATTGACGTATTGTATCCTTATGGTATCCGGTAACCGGACCAGGGAATACACGGAGGCGATCTTAATTCGACTGGTCCTGATTGCAGTTGGAGCTGGAGTTTGTTTGGTTGTAAATATATGTTTTTTCCCTATTTGGGCTGGTGAATCTCTGCATAAATTGGTGGTGAAAAACTTTAAGGACCTTGCCACTTCTCTGGAAGGTTGCATTAATGGGTACTTGAAATGTGTCGAATACGAGAGAGTTCCGTCCAAAATTCTCACCTACCAAGCTGCCGATGATCCGCTTTATAATTGTTATCGATCGGTCATTCAGTCTACCAGCCAAGAAGATACATTGGTACCACCAGATTGCATTTTAACAAAATCATTCCAGGGATTGAACTGGTTTTAATCGAATCCGTTTTTTTTTTCGCAGCTCGGTTTTGCGACTTGGGAACCACCTCATGGACGTTACAGGTATAAGTACCCATGGGAGAACTTTGTTAAAGTAAGTGGAGCAGTGAAGCACTGTGCTTTCATGATTATGGCATTGCACGGTTGCATCCTTGCTGAAATACAGGTTTATTCCTAGTACATGTCTCTTTTACTAGGTCGAAAATTTTTATTGTTCAATGTTTAGTAATGTCGTAAATCTAGGCCCCTCCAGAGCGAAGGAAAGTCTTTTCTAGCGAGCTTCAGAAGGTCGGGGAGGAAGGCACGAAAGTGTTACGCGAGCTCGGGATCAAATTAGAGAAGATGGAGAAACTAAGTTCCGGTGACACACTTAAAAATGTTCATGAGGCAGCCGAGGAATTGC